ATTACCTGCATCTCAGAAGTTAAAGTATTTGTTTCCAGTCTAGGTCTAGGAAAGCACAGAGGAAGGGAAGGGAAATAGCACTTATTAAGCACCCACTGCGTACAGGTGCTTTATACATATTAACTAATTTTCATTTTCATCATTTGATGTGCATTTAATTGTCCCTTTAAAGATAATGAAAACTGAGTCTCACAGAGATTAACTGACCCAAATCACACTCTAGTAAGTTGTTGCGAAATATGTCTCACTCCCGAGCACTTGTTTTGGGTACTCACTACGCTGTCTCCTGGCTAAACTGTTTCTCCATTATTATGAGACGAAGACAAAAATGAAAACACAGGTGTTCTAACATTAGATTATCGAACTTAATAACATCATCTTTGAATTGATGTCTTAAATACTTAGAAAAGAATTTTTTAATATTTCAGTTTTCTTAAGTCATGGTATTTGATTATAAATGAAGATCTAGTTATCAGACAAATCTAATCACAATTGTAGCTTCTATAAATATTTCAGTGAGAAACTCAATATACTTAATGAGTATTTATTAAGGTTCATTAACTACTTTGAATTACAGGAACATCATTATTATACTTGGGAATGAGGAAACTGAGGCATAGAACAGCTAACTACTTTTTTCATAGACTCATGTTGACCTGGGTAATGTTTCAAATCCTAAGCTGGAGTTTTAGCCCCATTTCTTTTATGCATATTTCCTTCATATAAATGAATTATGAGAAGCTATAAAATAAAATGTCAGAAGTTATAATCTTTGATTCTGCCTCAAAACAGTTGACATATTGGTTCAGATAATTCTTTGTTATGTGGTGAGTTGGAGGAGTTGGTTGGGTGCTCTGTGCCTAGAAGATTATTTAACAACATCCCCAGCTCTACTTATTAAAAGTCAGTGTCACCTTCTGACATCTGACAAAGATGTCTCTAGATATACCAAGTATTGAGAATGATGCCCACACCATGTAAAATAATGTTTTATATAGACATACTTATATGCTGCGTGATAGAATGCTCTTTTATCACTGTGATCTTTCTTGACTATAATAAAGTTCAGGCATAATCAAAGAATCCAGAATCGGTTCTAGAAAGAACATATGAAGATCATCTAGCTTAGTATTTTTTCAGTATGTGAAATATGAGGCTAATAGGACCAGAGTAGAAAATAGAGTGGTCAAGTTACATGGGGAAACAGGTAAACAAGATTCATTAAACTGTATAACAAATATTTTTTGAGCACTTACTGTGTTCTCTTCCATCAATCTACTGGGACATGGGAATATATCAGTGAACCAAAGTCCCCTAGTTCACTTGTAACAAACACAGAATCTAGATAAAGCATGTTATGTGTAATACATGATTAGGAAAATGAAAAGTTGGTCAGGATATGGGGGTCACAATGGACATTTGGGGATGGATCACAATTTCAAATTGGGTGTTTAACCAACTTTTCTTGTACCTGAGTTAGTTTATAATTAGCAGAAAGAACAAAAGCCTCATGACTTCAAACCCAGAAAAATTTCCCCTACTTCAACCTATGTCTTGCATTCACAATGGTGGTTAGATAACAGCATATTGTTTTCTATTAAATCAATTTTTCTATTGTGATTAGTATCTCAGAAATCACTTAGAAAAGTCTATATTAATTGGGGATGATTTTCTCACTGGGAAAGTTTGCAAATATCAGAAACAGTTTTGATCATCATCACTGGAGAAGAATGATACTACTGAACTAGCAGGTATTGGCTAGGGTTGTAAGGTGTTGCTAAACATTTTACAATGCCCAGGTTAACTTCCCACAATGAAGTATTATCTGACCAAAATGCCATGTAGAGGTTAAGAAATACTGACTCAGAGCTTAAGGACTCCTCACCTCCTATTAAATGACTTGAAATGATTGCCACATGGGTTTCACGTAAAGTATGTCCATAAACTTCACTTTTGACCTTAGTATGAGCTTCATTCAATGGTATTAGAAGGGAGGGATCATTAGAATGTGAAGATTTGAGCCAACTCTTGTGTACATGACACCTATCCATCCAGTGCTTTCCAAACCTCTCTACTGGGTTTCTGCAGCTGGCTTTCTACAAGATCCCAGATATGACTATGTGGCTTCTTGTGGAGACACTTCCCAAGTGACTGTCTACATTTGTTATTTTGCTTCCCAACCAGAGTCTCAGCATAGAAAATCTCAAATAACAGTACTACACAAATCAAAAAGTCATATACAAACATATGTTGCATGTATTCTATAGGTGTGCTAGTGCTTTGTGATTAAAGTAAATTTCTGGAAGATAGATAGTTTGGCTTAAAATGCATGGCTTTTCAATAGATTTTATTATTTGCAGTGAGTTTTAAGAAAATAAAGTAAGCGGCCCTCCCTGGTGGTGCAACGGGTTAGGACACAGCCCTGCAAGCTGGCAACAGCCGCTTTAGTGGGAGTTCATTCCCTCTCCCCGAGGCGATCCACATGGTGTGGCAGACCTTTCCTGACCTGCCTGCTGCTTCCCTCACCAGTGTACTTCCTCAGCTGGCCTGTTCTGCTCCCCACTCTGTCTCTGGTGAAGTCTCTCACTGCCCCTGTGCCTCTAGCCTGTACCCCAGTTTTGTATGCATAAATAAACATTTTTAAAAAATGTCAACACGCTATGTAATAACAGCCTTGCCCTCTAAGCATTGTGCAGCATTTTAATGGTGCACCCGGGTAAGGCTCACACTTTCCCAAGTATCAAATCTTTTGTGCTTTGAAGCTAAGGAGCATCCCTTATGGATCTAGGTCAGCAATTCAAAATGCATTTAGCTTTAGTCCTTCAGGTCACCTTGATCTGTGGGGTGACACTGATGAATTTTTATATGTCACATTTTTCCTTGGTAATGAATGGGTTCTCCAAAGATTAGATGTTGAAACTCCTTTGAAATTTCCCAAGGCTTAACTGAAATCCATCCATAGTAACATATTTCACTTGTTCTCACTGTTCTTTTTCCCCATTTCATCTTTCTGTCATCTCCCCCAAAACCTCATTCTGATACTTTTTTCTTCTCACTTACCTGGGCCCTTTAGGGATTATTTACACCAAGTTACTTCCGGCATTTTAGTATCTTTGTTGCTTGTTTTCTTCTAATTCTTTAAGCACAATTATTTACTGATATGCTTTCTGCTGAACTTCAGTTATGTCAAAGGCCCATGACAGTCTCTATTTTTTAATAAGGGTTCTGTATATATATAAAATAAAGCAGAATATTCATTAAGCCCAGAATGCTAGTAACAATGATTGATTGAATCTATTAATTGAACAAACACTCTGTTCATATAGACTCATGAACCTTTGCAGGTTCCCACACTACCCTGCCCCACTGACCTAGGTCCTTGCGGGAGAAGCCGGTGCTATTGAGTTGATTTTGCTTGTGAACTTAATCATAGGATGTGACTGTGACACATGATTGCCACGAGGGCATAAGGAGGTCAGTAGAAAATAAAACTGTTCCCAAATACAAATGATCCCAGGAAAGCCTGGAGAGTCTTGTGAAATTTGTGACCTCTGTGCCTCACTCGGTGGCATTTAACGCTTCTAATTGTTTAAAAAAAAAAAAAATCTGACAAATCTACAGGAAAGAAACTGGGTATGATTGGAAGCTTGAAAAGTAGGTCAGGGAGCCACTGAAGGTTTTCTACTTTTAGAATAAAAGGGAAATGAATAAAACAAAAGCAATGGAAATGTCCCAAGTGATCATAGTGAAAGTCACTTGTGTTTATGGACTTGAAGGTAATGAGGGCAAGAGGGGCAAGTCTGTGTGGGGAGAAAAGTCCAGTTTCTCACCTGCAATAGGGAAGTGTTTCAAGATATTCTTCTGCTGTAACTCAGATAAGAACCATGAGGAACTTCATTGGGAAGAAGAATAGTAAAGGAAGAGTAGATCTGGTATCAGATTTATTTATTTATGCATATAGTACTGGGGTACAGGCCAGAGATGCAGGTGTGGTGAGAGGATTCTACAGAGACAGAGTGGGGAGCAGAACAGGCAGACTGAGCAACTACATTGCTGAGGGGAGCAGCAGGCGGGTCAGGAGAGGTCTGCCACGCCGTGTGGGTCACCTCTGGGGCAGGGTTCAAACTCATGCTGGTTTTAGCTTCTTAGTGTTGTGCTTTAACATGCTGTGCCACCAGGGAGGGCCCAATGCTGGGGATTTTAACTCTGTTCTTTGTCCTACTTTTGTTTGTATTTTGCCTTTGTACTATTACTTAACCCCTAGGCTTGGTTTTCTTTTCTGAGAAAAAAAGAGGAATAGAAGTTCCTTTCAACCCAAGGATTAAAGAAGACAGTTTGCCCAAATGTTCAGCTCACTAAATGTGTGTGTGGGGAGTGGGGGTGGGGGGAAAAATGGGGGGGGCGTGGTTTGAGGAGTGAAGAGAAAAGACCACTCTCTGTCAGATTGATTCAGTTGTATAGCTGCATCCAAGCTACATATCAGCAAAACCACTTAATATATACAAAAGAGTGGTATGCAAACATGTCCACTTTAAGACCTAGTCAGATCCTGAAAGTAACTTGTCACTAAACTGAGCTCGACTTCAGAGAAGTGTGATTACACCGGTTCTTGTGGCGCAGATGAGGAGGGAAAAGATAAGTCAGTGGATTTTGACTGTCAATGCCCTCCCCAAAAGTGATTATCACTGTTAACTTAATGATTCCTTCAGAACACTCCAGTTTGAGTCTTGTCTATCATTAATAACCTTAGAACCCTTGAGGGATTTTAAAACTTAGTCTCTGTATTTATAAAATGGAATTCTAGTGCTTCTCTTGTCTACCTCACAGCATTGTTGTAAGCATCAAGATACATGTTCGAAGTTCTTTGTGAACTAAAATGTACTATACATGTATGGGGAGTTTTTAGCACTGGGTTGAGCCAGTGAAATAAGATGTAAGCCTCCTACCCAGCATGTACTATACATTTCTTCTCTTTTTTTTCTTTTTCCTTTCACGCACAGTTTGGAATTGAAGTGGTCTCACATTGAATGGTCGCAGACTGAATATGAGGTTTGTGAAAATGCAGGCTTATTGCCTTTGGAAATTACCAGAAAAGGATATTCCATTGACTCAGCTTTTGTGAGTGTAAAGGTAACAACTCTAAATTGTCAATTGTCAAGCTAAAACTTAGGTTACTTATTGTTGCCTTTAATGATTTCTTTATAAAGTTCAGAGTAGCCAAGAAGTTTTCAAAATTAGCGGTGTCATACTATTCTGAACATACTAAGTAAAAAATCTTGTCCCTACATGCTTCACCTATATTCATTAGCTCTTAGATATGATTTTAAACTTATGTTTAGTGTTAAAATCTGGTCATTAAGTTTGACATTTCATCTTAAAAGGAGATAGATTCAACCACGTAAACTTGGGCCAAACTCATCTTTGGATAGAAAAGTGCAAATCACTCTGTGGGGTACCCAAATTTTAGTTCCCAGATAGATTTCTCTTAATATGCAGCATATTACTTCCTGTGGTCCTAGGGGATGAGGTAAATCAGGAAAGGAGACAAACCTAATTTAAAGAGTTACCTGAGTTACACAGAACTAAGGGAACATTGCTCAGTCCAGGCACCCTGAAACATGAGACATTATCAGTAGTCACTACAGAATTAGGCAATAGATATCCTTTCTATAGACTCCAGAACACCACCTATAATTTCTAGAATGGCAGGATGTTTTAGAAGTCACTGTAACAATAGTACTTCAGGAGAAAGAGAATGTGAAAAGCCTGTCCATACTAGTGATGGAAAATAAACCTTGAAGCTTCCTCTCTTCGACTTATTGAAAGGATGCTGGTCTTAGCCTCTTGGGGATATGGTATCTCAGTTGCCTCAATTATAAGGAAAAAATTCAGCTCACCTCAGAACCTTCTAAATTTAATTCTACCATATTCCAATTTGGTATCTATATTTCCAGTGGGCATAGGCTTTTTTCTCAGTTTAGTTGGTGCTGCACTGTTATTAAAACACCAGGCAGTTTATGCATTATAATTTTCCAGCAGATTGTTTATGCAAAAAGAAAGACTTTGCCTGGATGGTTTTCTAATAATCCTCTGGTCCTCCATAGAAAGCACCATATGCTCTAGTCTGGAGTTTTGGGCCACGCCACCATCCACCTTGCCAGGAAGAACATACGTGGAATGACATGGAACCTTTTGTCTACTTAAGCTGAATGCATACCAGGAAGCTGCCAGCTGAGTGTGCAGCCCCTCAGCAAACGCCCCGAGTCCTTCAGGGACACTCTCCCGAGAGCACAGCCTGCTGCTTTATGCCAGACTGTTTGGCTACTTGACTGGGAGCAGGGAGAAGAAAGCACTACCACCGGGTGTTACTGACCCGGTTTGAATCATGTCCTTTCACCTGACTGATTTTACCAATCACCTTGCCTCAGACCACTCCTTTCCCCACGCAGGATTCTGTCAACTCAGTGGTGGTAAATACTAGGTAATTGCACGTGCAAGAACCATGCAGGGAAATGTAACCTCCAGCATATGGTGGCTACAGGTGTACAATGGGCTGCCTTTTCACAATGAAAGGTTGTTCAGGAGGAACCTTGGCATTGTAGACAAAGAGCAAATGGAAGCTTAGGAGCTGATCCTCCTCTTCAGGAAAATGCTCTCACCACAGACCCATTAGCAGATGTGAGGGCCTTTGATTTGAAATGGAAAGATGTCTGAGGACATAGAAATAGGGACTTTCATGTTTTTTAATTGTACATTTTGGAAAAGTGAAGAAATACATTGACCTGCTTTTCTGATTATCTTAAATGTCTAAAAGAAGTATCAAAGCATTAGCTGCCACTGTGCTTACGCAGGCTTCTCCTTTGATGACCTCTTTCAAACCAGCCAAGGACACATATTCTTTTTTTTTTTTTAAGGTTTTATTTATTTATGCATACAACAGCTGGGGTGCAGGCCAGAGATGAGGGGAAGGAGTAAGAGGATTCACCAGAGACAGAGTGGGGAGCAGAACAGGCAGAATGACGGAAATAAACTGCTGAGGGGAGCAGCGGGAAGGACAGGAGAGGTCTGCTGTGCCATGAGGGTCACCTCCCTGACTGGGGATTGAACTCGTGCTGCAGTAGCTGTGGATAGCTTCATAGTGCTGTGGATAGCTTCATAGTGTTGTGCTTTAACTCCTTGCACCACCAATGAGGGCCCAGGACACATCTCTTAAAACATAACATTAGCTTCCTGTGGGGGAGTTTAGGTCATGACTTCAGAGACCTTAAATTACCTTTGATTTTTAGCCCTGGAGGTAGGGAGCAGATTAGTCAATAGTCTCTTTCAAGCAGTGCAACTTTTTTTTTCCTGTGTGACTTGATGAAACTTCCCAAACCTTCAGTGCTGGGGGCCCTGAGTGTAGGCTGCCTTGTGTTCACCAGCTTTGTCATTCCCAGAGCCCATTCTTGTCTATGTAGAGGGCTGGCTTTCTTTGACAGGAAAAAGAAGCTGATTTGTTTTTTGTTCATGTGGTACCACAAAACTAGTTGCTAGATCTGACATGGATTGTCAAAGGTGTCTGCTTTTGCTGCTTTCCTTTATTTTCCTGTGGAATTATTTTAAAGCCCGTTGGGATAGAGAGAAAATAATGAAATAAGCAAATGATTAATAAAGAGGAAGCAAAAAATAAAAAAGAAAACAACCTTTATTTCCATTAGTATTTGTCTAGGAAAAAAGTCAGCTTTAAGGGAGATCTATGTAGGCTGGACCTAAAGTGGTTTATTATACTTTAAAAAATACTTTATGTTAAAATCAGACTTAAGAGCAGGAGTTTTGTCTAATATGACTAGATTTAGTTTCTTCTAGTGTAGACTAGGTGTTTCTTTATTATAGAATATTCATTTTTGTTTTTTTAAATATATTCTTCCATTTTAAGGTCAACCAAGTGTCAGCTGCAGTTGGAAAAGATTTTACCTTAACTCCATCTAAACTGGTTCAGTTTGACCCAGGTATGTACTGTTTACAGTTTATTCATGTTTTTGCAAGAAAATCTGAAGGTTAATAATCCTCTGGTCCTCCATAGAAAGCACCATATGCTCTAGTCTGGAGTTTTGGGCCACCCCACCATCCACCTTGCCAGGAAGAACATACGTGGAATGACATGGAACCTTTTGTCTACTTAAGCTGAATGCATACCAGGAAGCTGCCAGCTGAGT